CACGCCTGGTAGTTCTCGGTCTCTCCTTCCAGACGTGAAGTGCTTCTAATGCCAGTAGCAGCTTTTTGAATCCAATATTTGCGTTCAATATGTCAGTAGACACTTTTTGAACCCAATGTAGCCAAAATCTGACATAACTGTTTTCCAAAACGACTCAACAAAAATTCAATTTACATTGACTTAACGCGGTTTCTACTGCTGAAAATTACAAATCTTTGCTGCTCGATCACGTGTAATTTTTAACTTCAAACTGAAAACATTTCATCAAAAGTACGATCGAGAGATGTAGAACAAATTTACAAAAAGGTTTTGAAGCCAATGAAAACTTTTGTCGAAGAATTTTTTGAAATAAAATGCCCAATTGATACACTGTTTTACCTGATATTCGTTTAACTACTACTGCTTTTGCTCAATGCCACAATCCGCCATCATTTTCAATTTCGAATATTTCAAAATGAGTGCAGAAAAACCAATTTTGTATCGGTCGAGATATGATACACATTGAACCATTTTTCTTGACTATTTCCACTACGACATTTAGCCAGCTAGCCAAGTTGTATGGAAGACTGAGCATGTCGGATAAGAATGAGATGAAGATGATTGCAGACTGCCATGGAGTGACGGAGGTGAACCTGACGACCGCCTTAGGGTTCTGCAGTATGACCAGCTCGATTGAATCATTGGAACGCCTGGAGCGTGCCCATGAACTGGTCACATCCTTGAGTGTGGAAGTGTTCCCCGGGGCAATGCAGACGGATCAGAATATTGGAAGCTGGCGAGAAGCTCTAGAAAACGAAATGAATCTGAAACATAGTGAGGGGTATCATAAGACAGTCGGCTCGAAGTATCTGGTGGGATCTAGAGCGGCACCATGTTGCAATAGCAAATACCTAACAGATGCCAAAACGCAACATAGACTGATTGATCAACTATTTTTGGTGCCGAAGTGCGTGAGACTGTCGAGGGTGTCTGAGAATTCCCATGAGCAATTGACGAAGATCCTTCGGGCAGTCCCAGAGAGGTCTAGCGATGAGATGGAAGAGATAGTGGGAGAAGATTTCGTGGAGTGGGGCGAAGGAAACATCAGCGAGTTCCAACGAAAGAAGGCGAAAGGGATAATGTCAAGCGATTTCCCCACAATACGTGAGAAAGATGAAATGCATCAGACGATGATGGAGATCTAAACCCTACCCTACTGATAGCATCGGGTTATCGAACTTGGAGAAATATCCTACTTACTCATGGAGAGTATCCGTGTCGCTGCCTGGTGCAGACGTTTTGGTACCCCGAGAGAGCAAACCTAGTCCTGGTTTGTGATGAAGCGGAGATATACTCCATGGGATTGCTTGATAAAACCCAGAACGTGACGATACTGTTGGTCATTGCCATGCTAGCAGTGAGGTGGCTGGAAGCCAATGCAGGAACGACTGAACAGGAGATGGCCGTGCCAACTCCAGAGCAACTGAGTAGAGTAAGCCTCAGTAAGAAACTGGAACTGTTCAGAACTATTTGTAAAGTTCTGAGAATACCGAAGGCGATAAAAAAAGATATGGGCAAGACAGAGATTGATGCCTTGGTTTCGAGCAGTGATGACAGCATGGGTGTATGAACGCCCGAAGCGTCATATGTCCCGAAATACGGAAGCCTATCAATCCTTTCAGCTAGATGTAGGACCGGGAGCCTATAAAATAGCATTACTAACACATAGGAACGCTGTGATTACTGCGGTGAATAGAGTAGCTGTGATGTCTTGCACCACAGAAGAAGAAAAGAAAGAGGTCTTACCTAGAGCGAAATGTGAGCCTGTGTCTGCAAAACAACTTCTGCAGGAATCGAGAGCAGAAAATGATTGTGGATCTACTGCCCTGCTGCAAATCGAGGTTGTTGAAGCAAGAAAGCTGGGGCACGGCCCGTAACTCTGTTGACATGCTACAGAAAGTCTGGAAGACAGTGATATGGGAGAGCAGGAACCAGAAGCGATGTAATGAAGATTGGTGACGAAGATTGAAGACTGGAGAGAAATGAAAATTGAATTGTCATAGTGTGTGAAAACTTAAACCAATCAATCAAGATTGAATGAAGAAAATGAAGAAACTTTAAAAAAAAATTGATGCAGTTTGGTCGAACCAGACTTGCAATTGTTACAATTGTTGTTAAAATTGTTGAATTACAACGGATAATTTTAGTTCACGATTATTTATAATTATAGGCCTTAGGTGAGTATTTCGCCTATTTAAACTTGACTGGAGTTTTTAACCTGTGTAGGACTCATCTTCATTTTGTGGCGACCAGGTAGGGTTGGGGTATGCTCGCTCGAAGAAGTTGAGTACCTCCTTACCTCTCCTAGCCACATAGTTTCTTAATTTCAATATTGAGGGCAACAGCATAAATGAATGATTATACTTGTGAGTGACGTTAAGTTAATTTTAACGGGTGCGTGGCCGTGCCACATCCCAACTTTTTAAAATCAGCAAGAGCGAGCAAAAATTTTACGGAGAGATGACGTAAGTAGTCAGAAAAGAATTTTTATCTAGGAAAATCCTCATAGTGCAAATTTTGTGAAAATGTTGGAAACCAGTGCAATGTAGTACGATTCCATTTATGACAAGCGGTGAGTTGAGGTGACGTAGATAAAATTTCATTTTTAATGCAATTGACGAGTTGATTTTAGAAAGCTGGATCACCACTTGAAGTTAACCCGGAATTATGCGTTCAATGGGAACATTGAAGGCGACTGTCCGGAGAGAATGTACCATTCCGCCGGATTGACGGAGCCGAATCCTCCGACAAACAAGAAAGGAACGGTAAAGACGTTAATGGCGAACTCGTTATGGAAAAGAGGGTCGGAATCTTCTAGAATTTATATTTTGAAAAATTCAAATTGCGATGGAACATTTCTGAGAAATGAAAAAGAACGGCCATATTAGGCAGAAAACCAGTGGAAAACACACAGTAGAATATACAAGACGAAAACCTGTCAAGAGAAAAGGAACGTACAGTGGAAGCCGATAAGGAGAAAGGAGGCTTCAGTGGGACGTCCTGAGTGGAACAGTACCCTCCCATGCCGCGAAGTTAGAGAGATAACGATGTTAAGAAGAAAAGAGGCTTCAGTGGGACGTCCTGAGTGGAACAGTACCCTCCCGTACCGCGAAGTTAGAGAGATAACGATGTTATCTCTGGAAGAGTACGGAATTGGAGGCGTGGTGCCCAGAGACTATTATATGTTGAGAGACAATATAATTGAATTTTTAGCCGCTGTAAGGACCTGAACATTTGAATTAACTCCATTATTGTTCAGTATTTTGGAGCATGAGTAGCTAGCAAGAGGAAAGGGTCAATCCATCTCCAATGGATATAGTATAAAACTGTCATTAAAAATATATTAAAAATTTGATATTCGAGCCGTGTTTTTAATGGTGATACGTAGTCTGGGGATAACAGGTCCAGCTATGTGGTTATATTTGCATGTAACAAAAACTGATCGAAAGTCGTTTGACTGAGGGCCTAAAAATGCTAAAGAAATTTCTGCTGAGAATTAAAATTCAAAAGTTTTCGCAACTATGTGCATCGTCAGGATTTTTAAAATAAAATAATCTAAATGAGGATAAAACCTCAAATTACAATTATTTTTACAAAAATTCTTATACATTTTGGTTCTAAACCATCATGTTAAAAAATTAGCCAATCACAGCCGGCCAGTCGTCAATAGGTGCTTTTTTAGGTACGCTCCGTCACTATGTAAAATTTGGGCGAATGTTACAAACATACATAGAACCTTGAAACCATTGGAGTCAGTCGCTAAGAGTTTTATTATATTTACAATTGATATGATACCAATTAGAACAACAATCACATCTTATCCAATAAAGAAGTCCTGGAGGCTTAAATTTTCTGTGACATTCGATCGGAAAGGACAAAACGCAATTTCGCATTCGAATTTTTATCGGAAAATCAGACCGAGAAGATTGATGGTTTTAGAGGTCTTAATTGTGCATTCTGACGAACTCGGAAGGGTCAACTTGGAATTCCATGTAAATTTTTAAAAATTCGAATTGGACGTGAACGACACGTAACTTTTTATTTTTTCGCACCAACTGAAACAGCAAAATCAGAACAACAGGGTTCTCAGAGAGAACAACAGTAGTCTCAGTGACAACGACTACGGAAAAGCGACAGCAGATTGAGATTGTGATTAGAAATTGTCAGAAACCACTCCGAGTTGTAACGATTGTGCCGCTACAATCGTTACAGAGCAGTTCACCAGAACCAGGAAGGGCGTTGGGACGACGTGTCCAGCCTTCCGAGAAGAAATAAGAGCGTTATTTCTCCGGATTCCAGAATCCGGAAGCGTCTCGGGAGAGAACTGTAACTCATTATTTTAACAACTTTCAGCTTCTCGGAATTTCTTGAGTTGAAATTATTTAATACCAAATTCGTTTTCAGATCATGAGAAGCTAGGAGTTGAGGGAAAGGGTTGATCCATTTTTGATGGTGATGATGATTTTTATCTACTGAACAAAAACAATAGTAATATAATATATAAGTAGTAGCCCTGTTTTTAGGAGTGACCTCGTGGTCTGGGGATAATGAGACCCAGCCATGAGCTCACTATTTTGCATATAATTAAGTTAATCAGAGCGTTTTGATCGAAGCAGGAAACAGTGATGTTTTTGTCGATCCGATGTTAGAAAGACCACTAAAAGAACTGGCTTTGGCAGAGACGGTGAAAAGCATGATGAGCTGTGTTTAGACGCTAGCCTGTCGTTTTAAAACCTAGCTTTATTTTCCGTCGATGTGTACTTCCAAGCGAATGTTACATCTTGACGGCGCGGCGTAAGGTTGAAAAAAGGAAGTTTGACTGGACGGAAATGGAACTGCAATAACCCATAATAATAGGGTTGGAATTTTATAGATGAAGAAAACATTATTGCAAATTGAATTCAAAGAACAATAGAGTCTTGAATTAACTTATTGAGGAACAATAGAGTCTTGAATCACAACTTTTAGCCTAATTGTTGTGATAAACTTATTAAATAGATTTGTTATGTTTGATGTTTGTGCCTGTATGTAGAGCGCCCTCTGAGGGATTTTAGAGACAGGTCTGTCAAGTGGCTTTCTTTGGGGAGGTGGGAAACTGTAACTGGCTTGAGGAGTCTGATGGTGAGCCGCTGGACCTACTGAGCTCGGGTGAGATTGTTCCTTGTTTTTGATTTTTTTAATTCGATTTTAAAATTTAAATTAATTTAGTTGTCTTTTTTTTATTTGCTGATTTGTAAAATTCCCACTAACCGCTTGTCATGGGTTAGCTCAGTCCCCTAAAGTCCAGTCAAAATCCCTTTTTTTATCTTAATGCTGCGTCAAGATGAGGAAAAACAACAAAGAGTGTACAAGCAAAGATTGCTTAAAACCTTCAGGACTAATAATTTGGATTAGATGTGATTGTTGTTCTAGTTGGTATCATATCAGTTGTGTAAAAATTTCTCTTAGCGGCTCTAAGAAAAACCAATGGTTTCAGTGTCCTTTATGCGTTGATGTAAAATTTGTTAATAAAGCAACAATAGGTAATGATTTAGTGCTAGACAATTATGTTAATACAGCCATCTCAAATGTCCGAGTACTCAAGAGAGTACCAAAAGACTCGCCTGTTCCTTTGGCGGAAAGTCTGTCGGACAAAATAAATGACATCGTCTACAATGTAGAAGATGTTACAAAATGGCTAATTTTTTTTAACGTCGTTCTTGTTTTTTTTGGAGCAACCGAAAAGAAGTGGACGCAAACAGACCACAAGCATGAGTTCTTCGATTAATAAAAAAATTCGAGCAAATGACGTGTCACTTCCAAAACCCCATTCCCAAGTTTCAAGCCCGCCTCTGAGTGACCTCGAGTAGAGAATAAATTCAATTAGTAGTAGGCTCGATAAAGGAAATGTAAAGGGAGGAATAAGGCTTGCTGCTTCGGATGACAAAATAGTTCCTTTTTCAAATGATAACTATCAAAAATTGTTGTCTAAGCACCCGCAGCGAGCCAAATTTGCAGCTCCAAATCCAGAAAAGTTGGGTAGTTTTTTCGTAACCGATTTCGACCTATACAAAGCGATAATGTCCTTTCCAAACGGATTAGCAGCAGGTCCTGATAAAATAGTTCCTCAAATTTTTAAAGATCTTGTTAGTAAGTCGAATGGCAGTGCAGGACTTAAATTTCTGAAATCGCTTACTAAGCTGATAAAACTCATTGGAGATGGCAAAATACCCGAACCACTAAGACCTTTCTTTTTTGGCGCAAAGCTTATCGCCCTCATAAAGATAGACGGAGGATTGAGACCGATTGCCATAGGCAACACGCTGAGACGTATCGCGTCTAAATGCGCTGGAAGCAAGGCCCTCTCCGAGCGACAAAATTTTTTCGGAAACGTACAGGTAGGATGCGGTAACAAACGAGGAGCAGAAATAGCTGCGCACTCGTTTCGAAACCTAATTGAACGCGACGACAATCCAAAATGCACTGTTCTTTTAAAACTAGATTTTAAGAATGCCTTTAACTCTTTGAACAGAGAAACAATGCTGAATCAAGTTTATTCAAATCGCCCCGAATTGTATAATTTTACTCATTGCAAGTATGGTAAATCTAGTTACCTTTTTTACGGAAGCTCTGTCATAATGTCAGAAGACGGAACTCAGCAAGGTGATCCTGAAGCCCCACCCCTTTTTGCGGAAACAATTCATACACTAGACAAACAGTTGGAGTCGAAAATTAACATCTGGTGTTTAGATGATGGGAATTTAGCCGACGACTATAAGGTAGTACTCCGGGACCTTAAAAACATTCTGAAATCTGAACAAATTTACGGCCTGAGCTTAAACACTGAGAAGTGTCAACTTTGTTTTTTGGGACCGACTACTAGTACACAGTATAATTCAATTTGAACACAATTTCGAAAAATATGCCCCAAAATAAACGTAAAAACAAAAGAGGAACTCCTCATTTTAGGATCTCCAATCGGCGAACTTTGCCGAAAAGAATTGCTCGACAAAAAAATTAAGGAGCTTGAAAAAATCTCGGATGTGATTGACAAACTTGATGCCCATTATGGTTTTTACCTTCTGAAAAATTGCTTTAGCATGCCAAAACTCCTATATTTTTTGTGTACGAGCCCTTGTTTTTTGCAAAATGATTTTTTGGAACGCTACGATAAATTACTAAGAAATTCGCTATGCAAGTTCACTAACGTGAAAATGGATGATAACCAGTTTTAACAAGCAGTTCTCCCGGCAGCCAAAGGTGGCTTGGGCGTTTCTTCCGCTCGTCTACTCGCTTTACCCGCTTTCTTAGCCTCAGCAGTAGGAGCAAAAGATGCCTTGAGCGAAATCTTTGGTTTGGAGCATGTGGATGGAACCTATGATGATGCGATTAAACGGTGGTTTGACCTTGGAAAAATTGAAATGGCTCCAGAAAATGAAATTCAAAAAAATTGGACGGAGCCAATTTTTGACAGCGAAATTGCAGACTTGATTTTACGACGCGAACCAACGGACGTAAAAAGGTTCAATGCGTTCCAAGATAGATTTGGCTCCCAATGGTTGAACGTCATCCCGTGCAAAAATTTAAGGTTAAAACTGTCGAAACAACAACTCAGAATTGCGATAGGACACTGATTAGGATCAAAAATATGTGACATTCGACCAGAATGGCCAAAATGCAATTTATGCAGGATTCGAATTTTGAGCAGTAAGCCTTCCGAGTTGATGATTTCGAAGGATTAGCGACGTTATTGGAACGTTTAGCCAAACGGTGAGGGCTAGAATATTCTAGTATTTTAAATTTTCAAAAATTCGAATGATGACGTCACATTTCTGAGAAATGCTGAAACGGCCATTTTAACAAAAAGTGAGTGAAAAACAGAACAACTTTTATCTGCGATTGCGAACAGTACGAAAATCGAGATTGGAGAACGACAACGAACTACAGAATAGCAGAGAGCGTTCCGAGTTGCAACTATTGTGCTGCTACAATAGTTGCAAGGCCGTTGCCAACAACGGTGAAGGGTGAGAACCAGCCTTCCGGATTGGCGTGAAATTGAACTTAAGGAGCTTGATTCACTGGATTCAAGAATCCGGAAGGGTTTCGGGACTGGAACTTTTAGCCTTTTATATAAACTTTTAGCTTCTTGTCATGTCCTGAATTGAATTTAATTAACAACTGGATTCATTTTGATAAGGATGAGAAGCTAGGAGTTGGGGGAAAGGGTTGATCCATCTTCGATGGAGATGATGATTTTTATCTACTGAACAAAAACAATAGTAATATAATAAGTAGTAGCCCTGCTTTTAGGAGTGACCTCGTGGTCTGGGGATACTGAGACCCAGCCATGAGCTCACTATTTCTGCATGTAATCTAGTTAATTTGAGCGTTCTGGTCGAAGCCGGAGAACAGTAACGTTTTTGTCGACCCGATGTTAGAAAGACCACCGAAAAGTACTGGCTTGGTAGAGACGGTGAAAAGCATGCAAAGCTCTGTTTAGACGCTAGCCAGTCGTCTTAAGACTTAGTTTTGTTATCCGTCGATATGTATCTTCCGGGCGAATGTTACATGTATGTTTTTATGGCGCTCCTGGGTGTTATTCTTTCGTAACATCATGACCGGCGGAACCGTTAACGAGCACTCCGCGCCGAGCGGATGCTCACATTAACGCCCTTAATAGGCCTAAACTGCCGGGGCGGAAGGGTAGTTCGGAACGCGGAAGCCTTCCGGATTGCCGTGAATAGTTTTTTAACCTAGTTAAGACCGAAAATTCATGAACCAGGAAGGGTGGGGGGAATCGCGAACCCCTCGTCCCCTGAGTGGTTTGTGACCAAAAACATTTAAAGATATAAGTAAAACCAAACAAAAAGTAGTATAGTACCCAAGAAAAACAAAAACCATAAAAAATTACCGAAAAAACCAAAAACAGTAAAAAAGTAGAAAATCAGTAGAAATCATCCCTCCAGACAAGATGTGATTCAACCCCCCCGTTTGTTGTTGATAGATATATTGTTGTTACAGGCATTTATATCAGTCAGGATCGTTACGATCAATTTTGAGGCCCGTTTGTGAGGCTTGTACTGTTGGGTTATTTGAGCATTTAAGCACGTTAATGATAAATTGCGCTCAATCCGGAGGGGTCAGCTGATTTGCGCTCAATTCGGAAGGGTCTTGGGTGAAGACCGATCCGGCAAGCAGTACAAGGAGCAACAAGAAGGGGCTCAACGACAACAACAATCGACTGTTGGGTATCGTTAACAAGTTTTGTATCCCTTTTGGTACAAAAAGTAAGATAGTAATCTGTGGGGGGCTCGACAGTGCTGCACTGTAGTGACCCTTCACCGAACTGCGAATATCCGAGTTAAGCACCTTAATTCGGATAATAAACAAACCCGGAGGGGTATAGTATTACTAATATTATTACTTATATAGCCTATATTAATAGTCTTATATCGTTTTTCAGTGAAAAACAACGAAAACAGACCGGTTTTTAGGGTCAAAATAGCGATATTTTGATTCCCCCACAAGTCGCGATTTTTGAGATATCGATATTTTTTGAAACGGAAAAAAGCGCTAAGTTAGTGTGTTACATCGTAACTGCACTACTGTAATAAGTAGAACCGGTTAACTTTAGTTCGGAAGTGGTTGGAACTAGTTTGGTACAAAAACCAAATTTTCCCATTTTTTGATAGTAAAAAACACTATAAAATCAGAAAATTTTTGAAATCTTTGAGTTAGGACAGTAAAAATAGTTGTTCGGACAACGTCCACTAGTGAATCTACGAGTTTTAAAACCCGCTACCCGAAAGCCTTCCGGGTTGCAGAGAAATCGAACATAACGTGTTTGATTTGGTGGATTCATCAATCCGGAGGGGTCCAGGTAGCATAGTTTTTCGCAAATTTTTTCTACAAAAGCGTTTTAGATCGGGTCTTTTGCATTGAACTAGAAGAGTATAGGCCTTGTGAGCTCAGATCAATAATTTTTAGGTCGAAAGGACCAGATTTGCGGAAAAAGTTAGGCGGA